CGAGCCAACTTCGGCCATCTTGGTAGGCTCCTGGCCCGTCTGACGCCGTCGGAAGCCGTTTGGGGGGCCTTTCTGGGCCGACTTGGGGCCCTCTTGGGGTGCTCCAGGGCCGTCTTGGAGGCCATCTCGGGCATCTTGGAGGCCCCTTGGGTCGTCGTTGTGCCCTCTTGGGGCCGTCTTGGGGGCCTCTTGCGCAGTCCTGAGGCCATCTTGGAGGCCTCTTGGGCGCTGTGGGGGCGATCTTGGTGGCCTCTTGGGCCGTCTTGAGCCGTCGGAATGCCGAAATCAGAAAAGCATAAGGGAAATCATTGATTTTGGCCTCTTCGGGCCCTCCTGGAGGACCTCTTGGAGACCTCTTTGGCCGTCTTGGGGCCTCTTGGGGGCCTCTTGGGGGCCTCTTGGGCCGTCTTGGACCATCTTGAGGCCATCTAATGCCGTCTTGGGTGCATCTTGGGCCGTCTTGGAGGCATCTTGGGGCTATGTTAGCCGTTTGGGAGGCCATCTTGGCCGTCTTGGAGGCCTCTTGGGGCCCTCTTAGGGCCGTCTTGGGAGGCCTCTTGGGCCGTCATGGGGCCATATTGGATGCCTCTTGGGCGATCTTGGGGGCCTCTTGGGCCGTCTTGGGCCGTCGGAAATCCGAAAAGGCCCACAGGCCCAAATCATTAAATAACCTACAGAAAATTACTGATTTGGGCCTCTTCGGGCTTTCCTGGAGGACCTCTTGGAGGCCTCTTGGGCCGTATTGGAGGCCTCTTGGGCCGTCTGGGGCCATGTTGAGGCTATCTTAGGCCGTGTTGAGTGCATCTGGGCTCGTCTTGGAGGCATATTGGAGCCATCTTCGCTGTTTTGGAAGCCATCTTGGCCGTCTTGGATGCATCTTGGAGACTATCTTGGGCCGTCTTGTAGCCGTCTGGAGCAGGAAAAACCATTGCAACCGGGTTTTCGGCAATCTCTCGGGACCCCGGCGGGACGGGCCGAAGCTCCAGATGGAGTTCTTGTGGAAAAAAAAACAAAACCAGAACCGAGAAGGTCTAGCACGCCAGGCACCCTTGCGATGAATCGACAGAGGGCGGCGGATCGAAGACGCCTACGGCGAATCACCGCCGCCCCCTGCCTTTTTGGAAACGCCGATGTGGCCGAAAGTTGGACTAGAGCTTGGCCAAGCTATCGGACCATGAGTTCCCCGAGTCGGTTTGGAAAGCTTTCGGGGAACACATGGGAGAGAATGATTATGAACAGGAAGAGGAAGAGGAAGAAATAGAGTAGGAGGATGAGGGTTGTTAGGAGTCTCTTGGGGCACCCTTGGGGTCTGTTGGGGGCTTCTTGGGGGCCTCTTCGAGGCCTCTTGGAGGCATCTTGGGGGCCTCCTTGGGCCTCTTGGGGGCCTTTGGGGGCTTCCTGGGGGTCTCTTTGGCCGTCTTAGGGCGTTCCTGGTCCGTCTGACGCCGTCTGGAGCCGTCTTGGGGGCCTCTCTGGGCCGTCTTGGGGCCCTCTTGGGGCGCTTCAGGGCCGTCTTGGAGGCCATGTTGGGCGTCTTGGAGGCCTCTTGGGCCGTCTTGGGGCGCTCTTGGGGCCGTCTTGGGGGGCCCTTGGGCCGTCATAGGGCCTTCTTGGAGGCCTCTTGGGCGATCTTGGGGGCCTCTTGGGCCGTCGGAAGGCCGAAAAGAAGAAAACGCAAAAAACCTTCAAAAACCTAAGGAAAACCAATGATTTTGGCCTCTTCGGGCTCTCCTGGAGAACGTCTTGGAGGCCTCTTGGGCCATCTTGGAGGCATCTTGGGGCCATCTTGGCCGTCTTGGAGGGCATCTTGGGCCGTCTTGGAGGCATCTTGGAGCCATCTTACCCGTCTTGGAGGCCATCTTGGCCGTCTGGGAGGCATCTTGGAGGCCATCTTGGGCCATCTTGGCCGTCTTGGAGGCCATCTTGGGCCAAGTTGGGGCAACAAAGGCATTGACAGACGGATTTTGGGAAAATTACGGGTGGCCGGCGGGACGGGCCGAAGCCCACTGGGGAGTTCTTTTTACCTAACAGCGAAGACTGATAGGTTTCTAGTGGGATCAAAAGAGAGCAGCAGATCACTCCACAGGGGGGTCCGGGCAGGTGTTGGGAGTTGCCGGGCGGCAGGTGCCGGGCTCGTTTTTCACCAACAGTCACACACTTCGTGCTCTTCGACTTCCCAGAACTCCATTCCCAGGCCACATTCTCAATACCCGGATGCAACAGTCACACACGTGCTCTTCGAGATCCCAGAACGCCATTCCCGGGCCACATTTAGAATAACCGGATGCAACAGTCACACACTTCGTGCTCTTCGACATCCCAGAACGCCATTCCCGGGCCACATTTAGAATAACCGGATGCAACAGTCACACACTTCGTGCTCTTCGAGTTCCCAGAACTCCATTCCCGGGCCACATTTTGGATGCCCGGAGCCAACTGTAGGCCAGGTCCCGGGCCACATTTTGATGCCCGGAGCCAACTGTAGGCCACTTCGTGCTCTTCGAGTTCCCAGAACTCCATTCCCGGGCCACATTTTGAATGCCCGGAGCCAACTGTAGGCCACTTCGTGCTCTTCGAGTTCCCAGAACTCCATTCCCGGGCCACATTTTGAATGCCCGTAGCCAACTGTAGGCAACTTCGTGCTCTTCGACTTCCCAGAACTCCCACTCCTGGGCCACATTTTCAGCAGGGGCAAGAGCACGACGAGGAGGAGGACGAGCAAGACCAGGAGGACGAGGACGAGCAGGAGCAGGACGAGGAGCAGGAGGAGCAGGAGAAGAAGGACGAGCAGGAGGAGGAGGAGGACGAGCAGGAGGAGGAGGACGACCAGGAGGAGGAGGACGACCAGGAAGAGGAGGAGGAGGAGGAGGAGGGGAGGGGGAGGAGTACCAGGAGGAGGAGGAGGAGGAGGAGGAGGAGGAGGAGGAGGAGGAGGAAGAGGAGGAGGAGGAGGAGGAGGACGAGGACGAGGAGGAGGAGGAGGAGGGGGGGGGAGAGTACCAGGAGGAGGAGAACGAGGACCACCAGGAGGAGGAGGAGGAGGAGGAGGAGGAGGAGGAGGAGAGAACACCAGGAGGAGGAGGACGAGCAAGACGAGGAGGACGAGAACGAGGACGACCAGGAAGAGGAGGAGGAGGAGGAGGAGGGGAGGGGGAGGACTACCAGGAGGAGGAGGAGGAGGAGGAGGAGGAGGAGGAAGAGGAGGAGGAGGACGAGGAGGAGGAGGAGGAGGAGGACGAGGAGGAGGAGGGGGGGGAGAGCACCAGGAGGAGGAGAACGAGGACCACCGAGGAGGAGGAGGAGGAGGAGGAGGAGGAGGAGGAGGAGAGAGCACCAGGAGGAGGAGGACGAGCAAGACGAGGAGGACGAGAACGAGGACGAGCAGGAGGAGGAGGAGGAGGAGGAGGAGGAGGAGGAGGAGCAGGAGAAAGAGGAGGAGGAGGAGGAGGCAGGCTGAGGCTGAGGCTGTGACTGCGACTGCCGTTGCCGCTGCGACTGTCATCGCGAATGCGACTACGACTGCGAGAACAGCAGAATTCGACAACTGGATTTTCATCTGAATCTTAAGGGGAATGCTTTCAGATATGCTTCTACACATCGCTGTTAGGTTGCTTTGCCGGGATAATAGAAAAAGAACCAAAACCAAAACCTGAAACGTCCAGCACGCCGTGCACCCCTGCAAGCAGGGGGCGGCGGACCTAATGGCATTCGGCCCATCCCGCCACCGTGCCTGGACTGTGGGGATAAAGCCTATTGGATGATCGTTGGGACCTCGTGGGGGGCCTCTTGGAGGCAGTTTTGAAGCCTTTGGAGGGCCGTTTTGGTGCCTCTAGGGGCATGTTTGGGACCTTTGGGGAGCCTCTTGGGGCGTCTTGGGGGACTCCTGGGGCCTCTTGGACACCTCTTGGGGCCTCCTGGGGACTTCTTGGGGAGGAAAGCTTGAATGTTCGGTTCGTGATCCCTCACTTGGGCCCCTTTGGGGGCCGTCTTGGGGCCCTCTTGGGCCCTCTTGGGCGCCTCCTGGGCCGTCTTGGGGCACTCGTAGACCTTCTTGGGGCCCTCTTGGTGGCCTCTTGGGGCGTCTTGGGGTGGTCTTGGGGGCCGTCTTGGAGCGTCGGAGAGCCGAACAGGCGAGACCGCCCAAACCCTTCAAGAACCTTATCAGGGCCCTTTTGGGGGGCCTCTTGCAGGCCTCTTGTGGCGTCTTGGAGGCTTCTTGGGCCATCGGGAGGCCATCCTGGGCGTCTTGGAGCGATCTTGGGGCGACCAGGGGTCTTCTTTGGCCATCCTGGGGACCTCTTGGGGCCATCTGGGCTCGTTATGGAGCCCTCCTGGGCGGGGCAGGCCGACGCAAGAGCGATTCCTGCGGACCCTGGGCCGGCCCAGGCAGTGATTGGTCCGGGCCTGTAGGGATTGACAGCTCTGGCTGCAGCAGCAGCAGCACAGCCCTCCCAGTGCTGCATGAGCCTCGGGGTACTCCACTTCGTGCCAGAGGCACGATGGCGGATTTTAGCGTGAGAGACGGAGAGAGAGAGAGAGAGGGGGAGAGGGAGAGCCAGAGAGTCACAGAGCTACAGAGAGAGAGAGAGAGAGAGAGAGAGAGCAAGAGCAAGAGCAAGAGCAAGATCAAAATCGATCTAGTCAGAGAGGTACAGAGAGCAAGCAATTGCGAAAGAGCGAGACTAAGAGAGAGAGAGAGAGAGAGATAGACCCACAAACAGCGAGAGGGAGAGAGGGGATATAGCAATGCAGCAGGCGTGGGATGGAAAGGGCACGATCTACATGCATGCATACATACATACATGCATGCATGCATACATACAGACATACATACATACATGCATGCATGCATGCATACATACATACGTACGTGCATGCATGCATACACACAAGAGCTTACAGTTCTATATATATATATACAGAGAGATAAAGGTGGAGAGCAAGAGCAAGAGCAAGAGGGAGCCTGGGCAAGAGCTGAGGGCCGCAGGGAGGGGCCGCAGGAGCTCGAGGCAGCGCTGGCAAAGGACCTCGCGAACTGCGGCGCCCAGGCCCAGAAAATACAGGACGCGCAGCCGTGATTGCGCGAGTCTGGCCCACCTTGAGGATCAGGGCACTGCCGCACGCCCAGGGTCAGGGGCAACCTCAGGAGCGGGGGGGAGGCCTTCGAGGGTCGAAGCTCGAGCATCGCTCTCTGGACGTTTCTGGTCGTCCTCGCCCTCGCGGCCATGGCTGGATCCGCGTCGAAATGCTGGCCAGAACGCATCCTGGGAGAGGTCTGGGAATCGATGTTCGACCCCAGATGGGCGACCCCTCTTCATCACCCCCATCTTGCTCACAGCAGGCACGTCGAGCACGAAGCCAGCTGGCCAGCGGGTGCCCCGCGAGGAGTTCGCTGGAACTGCCTGACTGACGACACCGCATGTCTCACAGCCAGTATGGCTTTCGTGTGGACTCACCCTCTCTGCTCCTACGTCCATTTCCTCCTCTCATTCTCCCCCTCCTCCTCCTGCCGAGTCCAGCTCAGGCTGGCACCACATCAAACGTAACGAAGTCCGAAAACACATAATCCTGTAATGTGCTCCTTGGTTGGACCAGGGCATTGGTGGCCGCATTGCGCCTGGCAGTGGCGCGAAGACGGGCATGTCCGATCCACACAGCCTGCGGGCTGATCCCGTCCCCTGCTTCCCCCTTTTCCCCCCTTTGGCGATGGCGCTCCTCCTCCTCCTCCTCCTCCTCCTCCCCCTCCTCCTTCTCCTCCTCCTCCTCCTCCTCCTCTTCCTTCTCCTCCTCCTGCACGTACAACCGGCCCACGAGAGCCGAGCCCGCATTCCCGCTGCGCCACCAGCGCCGACGCCTTTGTCCTTTCTCTCTCTCTCTCTCTCTCGGGAGGGGATGAGAGGAAGTAGGAGGAGGGGGCTTTGGACACCGTACTCACAAGTACATTTGAGGAACGCGTGCGGGCACGTAATTGTCCACCAGAAAATTCGGCGCGCTGACCACACCAGAGGGTTCATCAATCAGAGCGTGGACCACGCACGCTCCGCATTGTGAGGGGCGCGTTCGCATACGACCCCGGCCTGCTCCCATGTGAGTACCTATCGCACCACACAAACTCAGGACTGTAAGGATGAAACTTCCAAGCGGTCGTGGATCACCGAATTCTGAGGGTCGCCTCATCCTCATCCTTAAAGATGGGCTCAGGCGCCCTGAAGCCTATAGCGAAGGCGACCATGGCCCCAGTGTCGAGTATTCGGGGACGACGCACGGGGCGGCCTGTAAGGAGACACACACACACACAAGAACACACAGTCTCCGATGAGCACCTCCCTTGCGCTCGCTGGGGTTTTTGCCACCGGGGCGACACAGGCCAAGGGGGGTCATTTGGCCTGGCCCCAATACCCAAACAAGCCCTTAATGGGGCTCCACCACCCCATGCACATAGAATATGGCGACAACTTGCTCACATGGCGCCACAATCGTTGGCCCGTAGTACCTACCCCCTTTGGGAGGTCGCCTGGGCGGTCGGCTCTGTTTTGGGTACGCCACCACGGCGCCACAAATCAGGGGGGGGTTGTTCGGGCTGCTCCATTGGCCCGAAGACCCCCCCCAGCACCAGGGCTATCACTACGGTCGTTTTCCTTTGCAGGTGCGCCAACAAGGCGCCACAAACCAGGGGGGGTGTTCGGGCTGTTCCTTTGGCCCGAAGGACCCCCCAAACCGGTGTCCACCAACATGCGCACTGTAGCCTACGTAGGCGCCCTTGTCGGTTGCCGGTTGCGCCATCAAGGTGCCACACACCACCTCAGCAATCGTGGTTCACGACGGCCCCGCTGTCGGATGATCAAGGTCACGCGGGTTGTTCGGGCTGTTCCCTTAGCCTTCAACCCCCCCCTCAATGCAGCCACTACCACGGGCGGACGTTCTGTGTTCTGGGTGCGCCCACAAAGCGCCACAGACCAGGGGGGGGGGGTCGGGCTGTTCCCTTAGCCCGAAGGACCGCCCAAAACGGAGTCCAACACCATGTGCAATGTAGCCTGCGCAGGTGCCCCCGTTGGCTGTGGGTTGCGCCATCAAAGCTCCACACACCACCAGGGACGCGTTGTCTCCTGACGGCCCCGCCGTTGGATGCTTAAGAGCGTCGTCAAGGAAAAGCCAGTCAGGTGGTTTGTTCGGGCTATTCCCTTGGCCCGAAAAACCCCCCCCGCACCAGAGCTCCCACCATGAGCGGTCATTTTCTGTTTTGGGTGCACCAACAAGGCGCCACAAACCAGGGGGGGTGTTCGGGCTGTTCCTCTGGCCCGAAGGACCCCCCCAAACGGTGGACACCACTGTGCACACTGTAGCCTATGTAGACGCCCTCGTCGGTTGTCCGTCGCTCGCGTCCTCAAAGCGCTACACACCACCACGGCAACCTCAGGGTAACGATCGGTTCGTTTTCTGCTCTTCGTTTTCTTCGCAGGCACACGCGCATCATTGGTTTACCTTTCAGGGGGTCGGGTCCTTACCTTTCGGCTTTCGGAGGCCTCTGGGAGAGGTGGCGGGCTAAAAAGAAGGATCGCAGCGCCCTGCCCCTCCAAGGGCCCACGGGCGGGCACGTACAGCCGGCCCACGAGAGCCGAGCCCGCATTCCCGCTGCGCCACCAGCGCCGACGCCTTTGTCATCTCTCTCTCTCTCTCTCTCTCGGGAGGGGATGAGAGGAAGTAGGAGGAGGGGGCTCTGGACACCGTACTCACAAGTACATTTGAGGAACGCGTGCGGGCACGTAATTGTCCACCGGACAATTCGGCGCGCTGACCACACCAGAGGGTTCATCAATCAGAGCGTGGAGCACGCACGTTCCGCATTGTGAGGGGCGCGTTCGCATACGACCCCGGCCTGTTCCCATGCGAGTGCGTATCGCACCACACAAACTCAGGACTTGAAGGATGAGACTTCCAAGCGGTCGTGGATCACCGAACTCTGTGGGTGGCCTCATCCTTCAAGATGGGCTTAGGCGCCCTGAAGCCTATGGCGTACTTGGCAGTCCTCCCTTCCTCCTCCTCCTCCTCCTCCTCCTTCTCCTCCTCCTCCTCCTCATCGTACGCATGTTCACTCTCGTCCCCCTTCTCCCCGGCCCCATCAGTCTCCTCCGCACTCCGCCGCCAGAGGCTCGGCAGCCGGTCCTTCCTGTTCCTGTCCTCTCCTCTCCCCTTCCTTGACTCCCCGCACTCCCTCCCATACAGTAGGACCGAGGTAAAAGATCGAGGTCGGCTCGGGGAGGGTACCCTGATGTTCTTCGTGTCGGTTGGATGTTCTTCTGCACCTTGGGGAGGGTACCCTTGGATGTTCTGTTTCTGTTTTGGCCGACGGAGGGTCTCGTGTTCTTGATGGTTGTTCTTCTAACCTAGGTCCGACTGTACCCCCCACCCCCTCGATCATCATCCCTCATCTTCACTCCGAGAGGCATGCCTATGCAATGCCCCGATGAAACCAGACAATGCTAGACGACGTCAGACCCCAAGAGGGAGAGGATGGAGGAGGAAGAGGAGTACAGTAGGGAAAGGGGGAGGGGGACGAGGGAGGAGGGAGGAGGTGGAATAGGCGGATGATGAGGAAAAGGAGGAGGAGGGCTAACAGAAAGGCTTCAAGCGTCTCGGATGCCTTTTCGGAGTCTCTTCGGATGTCTCTTGAGAGCGTACTGAAGTCTTCTTGGGGCGTCTTGGGTGCCTCTTGGCGACCTCACTGCCTCTTGGAACGTCTTGGATGCCTCAGTTGAGCATTTGGGGGCCTGTTGGGGGTCTTTCGGGAACCTCTTGAGGACTTCTTCGGGCCTTCTTGAGGCCTCCTGGACACCTTGGGGCACTCTCGTGGCACTCTTGGGAGCCTCGGGGACCATCTTGAGGCCATCTTGGAGGAGATCGATCAAAGAAGGGGGTATTCAATTAGAGCCCCCCCCCTAAAGGAGGCCAAAATGAGCCGAACAACCACATTAAAATGTTAGCCTGCGTGGACCCCCAACCGTGTGTTTCTAGCAACCGATGTTGTGCAAATCGTGTGGTGCAATCTTGGTTGTGCAATCTGTGTGGTCCAATCTTGGTTGCGGAATATAGTGTGTGCAATTTGTGTGGTGCAAGTAATGTTTGTTCGCAGCGAGTTGACAATTCCACTACTCGCGCATTCATCCCACCCACCCACCCGCAACACGGTTTGAAACACCCATGCGGCGGCGATTGCGATGATTGCTTGGCTCATACTTGCGGCCGCGCTAGCGCGAGCAGGCTCGCGCGATGGGTGGCCAGCTAGTCTGGCGCGGCTCACAAGGCCGCGGTAACGCTGACCGCTGGGCATTTCCCAGCGCGTCTCGCAGGCAGCGTTAGCGCGCGGGCACTTCAGTGCGAATCGGTAAATCGGGCGTGCGCGGTATCATGGCGACGCCGGCAACGGCAGGCACGATGATGACGGTAGCGATGTTGGTGGCGATGGTGACGATGACGACGGCAAGGCCAATGACAGCGCCGATGCTGATCACGCCGACGGCGATGATGGGATCCACGCGTCGGCGATGAAGGTGTCGAATGGATTTCGACATGCGCGCGCGGCCGACGCGCGCGAGTGGCCCGCATCGCCTGGTTTGACAGGGATCGCCCCCCCCCAGCACGCGCGCAAGGGCGTTCGAATAATTTCGACGCGCGCGTGCGCGAGAAGCCCGTTTGGTCACAGTTGGTGGACATGCTGAAAACCGATGACCTTCTACCGAATTCGCAAGAGCGCGCGCATACTTTTTTTGTGCAAAGGCATGCTGCAATACCCTGTGGTTGTTCCATGTTATCGGGAGGCACAGTTTTGAATTCCCTCCGAAGCCTGAGGTTGTTGAAGGATTTCGGCATGCGCATTGGACGACGCGCGCGTGTGCACTTCGCCCCGCTTTCGCAAGGGATCGTTTGACATGGGCGGTTTTCGATGAACGAGTGTGTTCGCATAGTGTTTGTTGCAGAGGATAGTGTGTGGGGTCGAACCCGTTCTGGCTGGGATGGTGTGAGATCATATGTCGAAAGGGCGATGGGGCAGACTCACATGTAAGCT